GTCAACCATCCCGCTCGAGCGGCGGATACACACTCCCAGAACTTTTACAGAACCAGGTCTTCGCTCGAGCGTCAAATCTCCCGCTCGAGCGTCACAGACAAAAACCCGCTCGAGCGGCCAATTCCACGCTCGAGCGTCCAACACTGCACAGGAAATACTGGATGGGTGCAATTCCCGCTCGAGCGCCAAAACCCCCGCTCGAGCGGACAGGTCAAAATCTGGGCAACTAGTTTTGGTTTCTAAACTCAACCAACCTGTAACAAACCTGCCCAACACATCCTATAACTCAAATACGAAGTAAAAAGGATGTAAACAAGATAATAATCAACTACCAATATCCACAGACACAAGTCCGGATCACTGTACAACAAGGGTAAACCCGGGATCGCTATACTGAATATATAGCTTCCGGAAGTTGTTGTGCCCAAATACTTTGGATGAAACAACAATTGGAGGACTTTGATTTGTATTATGATCATATCTCTATTAAATGTGATAATACTAGTGCCATCAATTTAAGCAAAAATCCAGTTTAACACTCACGAACAAAACATATTGAAATTCGACATCATTTTTTAAGAGATCATGTTCAAAACTGGGATATTGTACTTGAATTTGTAAACACCGACAGGCAATTAGCGGATATTTTCACAAAACCCCTAAGCGAGGATCGTTTCAATTTTCTTCGTGGCGAGCTTGGAATGTCGATTTCTACTTAAAAAGTTTTGTTATGACTGTGAAACTTGAATTTTTGTTAAAATGATATATCTGTATTGCTCTCAAGTCCTTCATACATTTATTCTCCTTAACAGTTCGCTATTCTCAACTGTGTAATTTTTTTTGAGTTCTGCATTTTGAGGTAAAATTAATTTTGCATACATTGATTTTTTTTAAACCCTCATGGTATTTTTTTTGCATTACCATTTCAGCAACACCTACATCTTATTAAGTTTAATTTCTGCTGGTATTATTTTATTTTAATTTAATTTATTTTTTTTATTTTGCTATTAGACTTAATTTCTTTTATTTTTATTTTTTTTCTCATTATTATTTTTTGTTTGGGCTGAATTTTCTTATTTTTTTTCTTCTTTTTAATTTCATTTTTCAGTACTTAAACATAAAAACAAAAACAAATCAAAACACAAATATTTACATAAAAAAAACACCCTTCATTTTTTTATGGCCATACGCCGATCAAAATAAACATATTTACATTAAAAAAAAACCCTTCATTTTTTTTAATTGCCATACGCCGATTTTACTTACTCGCCTCTTCCATCGTTTTCTTGCTCTTTTTATCACCTTGGGAAGCCCTTGAAGGCCCTACCCCCATGCTTTCATCGAGAGCGGCGACTCCCCGCTAACTATCAAAGGCCAAGAACGACATTGCTCCAAATCGGGCCATGGAGGTGGTCTTTCGTTTAAGCTCTTTATTTTTGGCCTTTAATGTGCAAAATTTCTGCTCGCGCATCCTTGTACATGCGCTGGAGCAGCAAGAGTTGGGCGTTGACCTAGTGGAGCTCACTCGTCCTATTCTGCAGTCGGTGAGCCAATTTTGTGACTGCAGTCACCATCTCCATACAGGACGTCAGTGTGAAATGATTGGGAAGAGTAGGAGCTGGGCCACTCGGCCTAGTAGCGCTTACGGGATCATTTAGGTCTGGAAAGAGAGTAATGGGATAGGATGAGGCCATAAAGTAGCAGATAGATATGTAATCGACAGGAGGGTCATTTTTGGCAGCCTTTTTGCACTGCTCAGTCTCCCTATTCTATCTCTCTCATATAGAAGAGGAAAGAGATGGAAGCGAATGAAAAAGAAGGAGGAGAGCGTGATTAAGAAAAAGACGGAAAAGAAGAAGACACGAGGGCGAAAGAGCCGAGGCCGTTGATTGACCCGTCTCGCTTTTGTCGGTCGGTTGACGCAAAAGCGATGACGCATGTTCGACGCGATTTTCGACGGAATAGAGAGAGGCACGCGAATTGTATATATATGTATATGTATGTTTTGAATTGTATAGATGCCATTTATCACTATCATTTTCCTCCTCCTCCTCCAGATTCTGACCCATGATTTCCTTTTGATAATGTCACAGTGGGAGAAATTATATGATATTATGTATTATGGTATTATTTTCAAACTAATCTGATGTTATGTATTTATAGTTTGATATCTTAGTCTCATATCATGTTTCTGATTAAAGCTTATTTATTACACAGGTGCTAGCCTATGTTTTTAAAAATGAATTCAGGGAGCATGACTTGAAGGGGAGCTTTTCTTACTCCCAAATCAAATCAAAACATCATTGTGTGCCATCATCAAAAAGGGAGAGATTGTTAGACTTATTTATTTTGATGATTTATTTAATTATGTTTTAATTTCTTTGGTAGAGAAAAATAGAATCAACATTTATTTTGTTGATTTATTTAATTATGTTTTAATTTATTTGAAAGACAAAAATAGAGTCAAAATTTATTTTGTCCCATTATTTCTCACCTAAACCTTTATCATAAATGTTGTTAGCATGTATTTAATATTTGATTAAATCAGGAGTTCAAACAGCCCAAAATAGAGGTTCAAACAGCCCAAAAACAGAGGTTCAAACAGCCCAGCACAACAGCAGTTTAAAAGGTTACAAAGGTTCCAGTGGAAGATATTCAAATTAGTAATGATGGAGTGGAAGATATTCAAATGAATACAACGGCTACAACCGGCTATAAATTCAAATGAATACAACAGCTATAAACAGCTATAAATGGCTATAAGTTTCATTATATATACCAAAGCCTCTGATGTGAACAAGTGATAGCAACTACAAACAAGTTACAGAAACCATAAAATATTCTTTGATTTAAAATCACTCTCATCTATTCTCTGAAATTTTTTCTGAGAAGTGTTCTTCAATTTTTGTTTAGATCCTCTCTCAAAAATTATACATTAAGTCGTATAGCTTGAAGTCCATCTTTCCTGTGTGAGAATTGCAGAAAAATCAGAGTCTCATTTTTATATCTATCTTTGAGAGATAATTCTTGTAGCTTTTTGTGAAAGCAAAAGTACCTTCTTTTCAATCCTGTAAGAGTGTAGCACTCTCAGTGGTTTTTGGACTTAGAAAGTTTGTGTAAAATCCGTGGAGGGTTGCTCTATCTATGAAAAGGTTGCTAGCACCCTGTGAAGCTAGAGAATAATGGGAAATCTCAAGTGAAGCTTGAGGAGTGGACGTAGGTTGAGTTGAAGCCGAACCACTATAAATTTGTTTGCCTCTCTCTCCCTTATATCTTTATTTTATTTAAATTGCCATAGTTATATTTCGTATTTTTATTGTGCTAAAATCATTAATTGACATAGTTGTTAGAACACTTGTTTTAATTATTTTTATTTCATTAACTATATTTATCTATTGTGCTAGTCATAATTTTTATTAAAGTATTATTATTTTTATTTGTAAAAACCTAATCACTCCCCTCTCAGGTTGTCTTTTGGGTAACAGTTTCATATATAGATTAATCCATCTATGCAATTAGCAAGTGATAGTAAAGACATATATAACAAAAACTGTGGTAGTATCTCCTCAATTCAATCACTATCTATTACATAAATACATCAAGGCTCTATATCATGATTTATATCTGAATCGATGTCAAATTCATCTCCTTCTTGCTCATCATTGTCCGTACTGAAGTCATCTTCATCGGTATCACAAATGAAAGCATCATCAATAGCTTCGACTTGTGTTTGAATATGAGATTGTAAAACCACTATATTCAAAATAATTTCACCTTTAATATCATCTCTACACAAAACCCCTTCATCGCCAATGCCTTTAATTTGCATACTGGTTTTGTCCACAATTGGTACAACCTCAGTGGTTTCGTCTTGTTAGACCACACTATTGAGAGCATCATCAAGCAAACCATCCATCTCGGGCACATTCCAAATTGCTCGATAGTGGAATGATTTTACAACTTTCCGATTCCCACCTAAATTGGTATCATTAACGTCGAATACTTGTTCTACTTGAGCTAGGAATACAAAGGGGTCATGTTCATACTATCAACTTTTTACATCAACACTTGTGACATGTGTACTCGTGAGAAAAGTCTTCTTGCACTACTACAAAAATAGATAAAGATCACACTTTTTTTGTGTGCTGTATGTTATTTAATCATACCTTTTAAGTTTTATTAAAGTGTGATCTTTGGAAGTGTGATTAAAAATATTAAAGTGTGATCTTTGGAAGTGTGATTAAAAGGGGTCATTTTTAATCACACTTTTTAAGTGTGCTTAATAACATTTAGATCACACCTTTTAAGTGTGATTAAAATATTTAGATCACGTCTTTTAAGTGTGATTAAAAATATTTAGATCACACCTTTTAAGTGTTATTAAAAATATTTTGATCACATCTTTTAAGTGTGATTAAAAATATTTAGATCACACCTTTTAAGTGTGATCTTTGGAAGTGTGATTAAAAAGGGTCATTTTTAATCACACTTTTTAAGTGTGATTAATAACATTTAGATTACATCTTTTAAGTATGATTAAAAATATTTACGTCATATCTTTTAAGTGTGATTAATAACATTTAGATCACGTCTTTTAAGTGTGATTAATAACTAATAAAATCTGTGATAAAAAAAAGATTCGACATATTTGAAAAATAAACAATATTATTTTTGTATGCACATTTGAAGAATGTAATACACACTATATACTATATTTTGAATATAACCACATATTGAATAGAACAACGTCATATATTTCATAAATGAAAATTAAATATTTAAAAGTATATACAAAAGAATTAAATAAAAAAAAAATTAACTGTGCTTACATATATTAAAAAATGAAAAAACTTAAAAGCTAAGTTCTTTAATTCTTGGACCATATTTTGCATCTCTCCAAAAAATTTCTGACTTGAAAAATGAAAATACAAATTAATCCAGAAACCGCTGATGCATATGAATAAACTAAAAAGTTAATTCAACAAACCAAAATAAGAACATTAATCATTTCTGGTTGATCTTAATTCAGCATAAAGGCTAAAATCTCCACAGAAAAGTGCCTACAAGCAGTAGTAAGAGAAACGAAGAGAGGGAGAGTGTCTAATTGATAATTTCCAAATTAGGAAAGGTTTGTATGAAAGCAACAATATTTCGTAGTTTGTTGACTAAAAATATATGAAAGCAACAAAACAAAAACAAAAACAAAAAAACCTTCTTTTCTCTTTGCCATGATCCAACATTTCCTAGTGCAGCCAACCCCACAAAAGCAAAGTTCACGGTCATAAGTTGTTCATTAATGTACCTAAAACAAAATTTTATATCAGATTCAATATCATTATACACTTGATAATGATGAAGAAGATAGTGTAGTTGAGCTAGTAGAGGTAGTTACTTGTCACGGACTAGTAATATACCACTAACTGTACCCCGTTGATCAGCATGAGGGAAGTCTTCTGAAAGAGGGAAATCATATGGCCAGCTTTGGGTTTCTATCAACATCTGAATATATGCATATGAGATGAGATTGTTAATTTTGTTTGTACTGATTCGATTTTATGTTGTCAAAAATTTCATGCCCAAAGTAGTACCTGTTCTTTGGCATCTTCCCAAAGTGTTAGGGCATCCTCTTCGACTGAAACTGAGTTTAGATAGATCAAAACAGGGCCAAACACCTTCTTCCATGGCTCGCCATCTCGCAATTTTAATGTCAGATTGTCCCCAGCATAATGGGTGCTTAAAAACATCTGAAGATAAATAACACAATCCTTTAACATTAACATCTAGTAGTAAGGAAATTTGTAAAAATTTATTTATATATAACATTTTCCACTTATTAAAAGTGCAAGGTTGTGCCTCAATAAGATAGATTTAAGTAGTAGGTCATGTGCTTAACTGGAAAGTTATGCTCTGTTCTCCATCAATTCCTTTTTCAGTCCAATTGTTGTGAAGTAGTTTTTCCTATGGATGTCATCATCATAATACAAAACAATATTTGTTCTTTTAGGCTTCGTTGGGGAAGTGGGAATTGGTCAAGAATTTGCATCTACATATATTACTTTTTTCGTTTTTTTTTTTTTTTTTTTTTCTTGTCATGAAATTCATTTTGTAAATGGGCCACTGTGTTGGGCCAGTGAGTAAAATTGATGCCATTTGAAAGTGTGCTCTCTTGCAAAGCATGATATCTGAGTGATTAATAGCAAAGGATTGTGCAAAGGGTACAATATCGGATACTTACAGATAAGGTGGTTGGGCCAACATGCGAGGTGAGATCCTGCTTGACAGGGCCACCTATATGGAACTCATCGCTGGGTGTGATCGTCCAGAATCCAACAGCCGGGTTGGAGCATATCCACCCATGAACCCGATTGTCTTTGTCATCACATGAATATTGGTACTTATCATCCACCTACATAACACAACATCAAAAAATAAAAAAAAAAAACTAGCATATCTAACTACACAAATGCAATCTTTCCTCTTGTGATTGTCAAGTCTTCATGAAGGAACAAAAATATGAAGAAGTTAACACTCTTGATGAATCACAAAAGGGCAGTTTTGTCAATTCACAAAACCATTCCCACAAAACTTAGGAAATAGGACTGTCTTAGCAATAACTAGTAGGTGAATGAAAAATGGTCAAGCTTACCTCCCCAGCGATTTCTGGATTGCTTGGATTTGTCAAGAGAACAGCTTCAGGGTAGTCAAGGACTAGGCCAGCTTCACGGTCCAATGGCGTTGGCATGATCCTTTGCCTTTCATCCGATATAGCCATGTACTGAAACCTAGTCATGTATCATATCAAGATTAAATTTTCCTTAAATTACTCTGTTCGTGTCAAACGTAGTCAACAATTTAGAATAGCAGGACTGTGAACCATGTCTATATAAAAGTGTGGTTCCAAAAGAACTAGGATAAAAGGCATGTCAACATATGAAACTCTGTTAATGTACTGTGGCATTACAACCTAATAAATGAAAAACGTAATGGCCCATTAGATCTGAAAATTTAACACTGACTGACCGACTGACTGACAGTTGGGGTGTATAATCTCAAACCAGTCTTCACCTATTTGAACCCTAACCTCAAAAACAGGGTTGGTTTAACGAAGGGTTGGCAGGTAAGCAATTTCTGTATCTATTGTTTATTTTATTTTATTTATTTTTTTAAGTCCAACGGAGATGCAGGATGAGTCCATGATTTATTGAAAGAAAAAAAAATAATTTCCTTCAAATTTCTACTGTGGAATCCTATAATAATCTTAACAATCAGATGTCCTCAATAACCATCATCAAAACATTCTACTGCAACTACACTTACAGATTGCAACCTTCGTCTTTACAAAGTATTCAAGGTCCTCCCTCAATCAACATAAAAAGCTAAAATAGTATATTAATATAGTTATCGTTACATCACATTCCACTGAAACACCCCACTGACACTTGTCGACACTACCCAAGATGTGTCCTATCTTATTATTTTTAATTTTTTTTTCAAAAGACATGTTTTGGATACTTAGGATACACAAGTGTCAATCACATAGAGATGCATGGAAACACATTCCATGTTTGAAGAAATAACTGGGAATCGAATGATAAAATAAAGTAAAGAAAATTTATGCCTATTAATCCCTCATCCTTAAAACTTTTTAGTTTTAGAAATTCTAAAAACCAAAACTTCAATTTATTTCCTACTTCAGGATAAAAGTACATACCTGCAATAGGACAAATAGAATTGCTGCATTTGCAGGGGCTAGAGAAAGGCTCGTCATCCCTCCACGCAACTCATTTGGTATATACCTGTGTATGGAACAAGCAGCAGAGGATATATCAAAAGTTTCTCTCAAATAAACAAATAAATGAATGCAATAACATCCCAACAAGTAAAAGCCACAACCAACTAGTAATTAGAAGCAAAGAAGCACTAGTATAATTTGCATAGTCCTCAATCTGGCAAGTGAAGGTAAAAGAAGGCCAACACAAGCATGAAATAAGCAGAATAGTGCTACAAGAGCTCCAATTTCCTGCATATAGCGATCCCAGGTTTACCCTTGTTGTATAGTGATCCGGACATGTGTCCGTGGATGTTGGTAGTTGTTTATTATCTTGTTTACATCCTTTCTTACTTTGTATTTGAGTTATAGGATGTGTTGAGCGGGTTTGTTACAGGTTGGTTGAGTTTAGAAACCAAAACTAGTTGCCCAGATTTTTGGCCTGTACGCTCGAGCGGAGGTGTTGGCGCTCGAGCGGGGAATACATCCATCCAGTATCTTGTTGTACAGTGTTGTGAGCTCGAGCGTAGGGATTGGGAGCTCGAGCGGAGGCCTGGTTCTGCAAAAGCGCTGAGCGAGTGCATTCTGCGCTCGAGCGGGAGGTTGGCCGCTCGAGCGGGTGCTTGTATAGTACCGAACAGAATTGTCAGAAATAGTTTAAACAATCTAGAGAACTTATTTATTTTTAAATGTAAAATTGAATCCTAATAAAAAAACATGTGATTTGCGATACATAAATGTCACACATACATATGTATATCTGTGTATTTACATATATCAAACAATAGCAGCAGATTATAACATTTGAGAGAAACTTGGAATTACCAGAGTGGGGTTAAATTCGGGGACCGATCCAAAGATCTTCACAAAATGGGGGTTCATCAATACCTTCATCTTCTCTGCATTCTTGCTTGATCAACCCTTGGTATGATCTAGTTCAATTTCACCAAAAACAATCATCAAAATAAATCTCAACCAAACAAACAAATTATGAATGATAGATGTGTAGAGATCCATACCAAAATTTTGGTAAAATCGCTTATTCGCTAATTTCATCAATGGAGTTCCTGTAGATTCGATCTTCATCTTTATCTTCGTCTCCTCCTCTATTGAGGCCGTATACTCTGCGGTTTAGGGGAAGATAGGGGATGTACCTCTAAACCGGATAGGTATTTGGAGGAGATAGGGGATGTACTCCGCGGTTTAGGGGAAGATGGGGGATGTACCTCTAAACCGGATAGGTATTTGGAGGAGATAGGGGATGTACTCCGCGGTTTAGGGGAAGATGGGGGATGTACCTCTAAACCGGATAGGTATTTGGAGGAGATAGGGGATGTACTCCGCGGTTTAGGGGAAGATGGGGGATGTACCTCTAAACCGGATAGGTATTTGGAGGAGATAGGGGATGTACTCCGCGGTTTAGGGGAAGATGGGGGATGTACCTCTAAACCGGATAGGTATTTGGAGGAGATAGGGGATGTACTCCGCGGTTTAGGGGAAGATGGGGGATGTACCTCTAAACCGGATAGGTATTTGGAGGAGATAGGGGATGTACTCCGCGGTTTAGGGGAAGATGGGGGATGTACCTCTAAACCGGATAGGTATTTGGAGGAGATAGGGGATGTACTCCGCGGTTTAGGGGAAGATGGGGGATGTACCTCTAAACCGGATAGGTATTTGGAGGAGATAGGGGATGTACTCCGCGGTTTAGGGGAAGATGGGGGATGTACCTCTAAACCGGATAGGTATTTGGAGGAGATAGGGGATGTACTCCGCGGTTTAGGGGAAGATGGGGGATGTACCTCTAAACCGGATAGGTATTTGGAGGAGATAGGGGATGTACTCCGCGGTTTAGGGGAAGATGGGGGATGTACCTCTAAACCGGATAGGTATTTGGAGGAGATAGGGGATGAACTCCGTAGACAGAGCTCGTATGCTTGTCTAGAGAAGTGAAGATGTGTGTTGATAGACACGGGTGCATCTCATTCTTTTGTATCTGCTGCATTTGCATCTGTTTTGGAATTGGAGTTAGCACAGTTAGCATCTCCTATTTGTGTGGTTAGGCCAAGGGCTTAATGTGTAAACGAGTTAGAACTCTTTGTTGTAACCAAGTGTTAACTTGGAAAGCTGTAAGCCCGTAGGGCATTTTGTTATGAGGTTAACATGTAATACTTATGTCTTGGAATTCTAATGAATGAAAGGAATGCGGTTAGTTTAAATGTAAATGCATGTCTTATCTGATGGGTTTATTGTTATTATTTTGAGGGCGTTACACTGCACATACAAGTACAAACTGTAAAAGTTCAAATCCAATTTTCAAAAACAAAATATTAGGTAAAAATTAGAAAGTGTGTTCTTTAAACAATCATAATTAGAAGTTTCGATACCTGATAATCGTAGGCCACTATGGACAAAACAAAACCCGTTACTATGAACACATATACTAGGAAATCCTCAGTACGAAGAGATAATGGTCCACTGAAAAACCATGGAAAAACTGTGCTTCCTAGCATTATGGCACCTAGAAAACAAGGATATATCAACCCTAGATGTACTTCTCGCTCATCAGCCTAAAACCACAAGAATATCATTTAAATCAATTGGTAGTCAATGAAATTGTTGCTACATAGTGTTATTGGAAAAAAAAAAAATACCAGACGAAGTCTCACTATTATGTAGCACTAGAAGGGACAATCTTTTTTATTGTCCAATAAAACATCACAATAGACTAAGGTACCTACATGCTCTCATTCTCAAAATTGGCATAGATAACAGGTGGCAGAAAAAAAAAGAAGTAAATATAAGATCCATTAATAATAATTTGTCCTTTTGACATTCCAAGAACCAAAATTGCCAACTAATTGGGATGAAATGAAAATAGACTTACAAATATTTTGTGTATATCATGCTACAGACTCGATGTTAATTGCACAAACTTATGAATTCAAAAAACACAAAAGGTAAAACAGACAAATCAAATCTATTAATAACTAACTTTCACCTCCTTTCAACAGAAGCCACTGGATGGGAGGAGAGAGAGATCCAAGACCATCAGAAGCAGCAGAAAACCAGCTCAAGCTACTTTGCTGTAAAGGATCTAGTCTCTAAACCAAAAAAGAATTATATTTTTACATTTTTAATCTATTAACCTACAATATAAAAAATAAAAAAAATATTTTATAGTAATTACACAACCAATGATACATCATACGTATAAGATAATGTTAGACACAAATATATGAGAAGTGTCTAATGAAGTATCGGATACATATCTCATACTATAGTGTCCGATACAATTTTTTGATTTATTTTAAAGAATTCATATAATATAGATCATGACTTAAAAAATCTTGTACTCCGGCTCCGACTAAGGCTTGGGCTTGTTTTGGAAGCAAATATATAAGAAGAATGAAATTCCTACTTTTATTAGCAGGTGGAATCATTTGTTACAGGGTCTCAAGAATCACATGACCCATCCAAATAGTTTGTATTTTGTTGGTTTCTCCTCATTTTGTTTGTTTCTTTTCTTGGTGGATCACATTAACAAAAAAGATCTGCTATAATGTTTTTGGAGAAGTTTGAGATATCAGAATTTACTCAGAATAGGGATGTATGGTGGAGATTAAATTCATGAAGTGTGAGGTCCACGACTGAAATAAATTTAAATCATTAATTGTTATTTTTAAATAAATTCTGAATTTATAATATTGCCGAATTTTTCTTTTTTTTTTTAGAGCTCTCCTTCCTTCCTCTTAGGATAATTTGATGTTAGAGATTCTTGGATGTAAAGAAAAACCACCACAGTTACGGATTATATAAACAAGCATTATACCAATCCGTACAAGTTAAGATATATGAACCAAGAGTAACACATTTTCTACATTGTATATAGCTAGAGCTATTTTGGAGATACAACAATACAATAAATAGTGTTTGGTGCAGTTTAGTTAAAAATTCATAATTTAAAAGTAGAAGCTATAAGTATTTTCATTGCAGAGACATGTATTCGGATTCAACACAACGAGTGAACATTTTTCAGCTGATAAAAGTCAATGGCAAGAGGAAATAGTGGAATGACAGAAGAGAATGTTACCTGGATAGAATAGAGAGAGAGAGAGAGAGAGAGAGAGAGAGACTGCGAGCTGTGCAATGGCGAACGGCTAGGGCTCGTTTGCCCTTTCGGCTGCTCCTCCGCCGCTCGCCATCGATCGAGAGAGGGGGGGTAAGAAGAGATTAGGGATTTTTGGGTTTGAGATTGGGGATTTTTTTTTTTTTTTTTTTTTTTGAGGGGGAAGATGAGTGGGAATGGAAAAAAAAAAAGGTGGGGAAGGGAGCGGGAATGGAAAACAAAAAGGGGTGGGAATAAAAAATAATTTTTTTTTTGTTCGAAATGAAATTTAAATAACTAAATAACGTTGTTTAACTTTTCTTTTCTTTTTTTGTGACGGGGTTGTCGTCGTCAAAAAATTTATTTTTTGTTAAAATATATATATTTTTTGTAGTTAATAAATTTTTTTTAAAAAAATCTTTTTTTTTAGTTACTAAGATTGAAAATTTATTTGTTTCATTTTTATTTTAATGAAAAAAAAAATTATTATTTTTTATTTGGTAGAAGTAGGGGTAAAAAATAATTTTTTTTTGTCAGAAATGAAATTTAAATAACAAAATAATGTCATTCAGCTTCTTTCTCTTTTTTTTTGCGACGGGGGTTGCCATCGTCAAAAAAAATTATTTTTTGTTAAAATATATATTTTTTTGTAGTTAATTAATTTTTTTTTAAAAATTCTTTTTTTTTAGTTACTAAGATTGAAAATTTATTTGTTTCATTTTTATTTTAATGAAAAAAAATATTATTATTTTTTATTTGGTAGAAGTAGGGGTAATATTTTAATGAAAAATATTTTTCACTAAAATAAAAGTTAATTTTCTGTGGTCAATGAAAAATATTTTTCTACGTCCCATTTTTTTTTGTTATTAAAAATCATGAACTAATTTTTTGTGGTAGAGGAGAGGGAGTGGCAGTAGTGGTGAAAGTGGTGGATAAGAGATGATGATGGTGGTGGTGCTGGCGGCGACGAAGGAGATTAGTGGTGAAGTTGTGGTAGTGGTAGAGTAGATGAAGTGGCAAGGGTGAAGGAGAGGTAATGGTAGTAGTAGTGGCAGTAGTGGTGAAGGTGGTGGATAAGGGATGATAGTGGTGATGGTGGTGGTAGCGAAGGAGATTAGTAGTGAAGTTGTGGTAGTGGTAGAGTAGATGAAGTGGCAA